GGCTCGTTTTCTGCTCTCTAAAGAGCCGAGAAGTGAAGCGCTTTGTAAGCACACGAGAGAGACAGAGTTTTTCAGTCGCGCACGGACTCTGAGATCAGGAGAAACGAGTGAGAAAGGAATAAACGCTGCCGATACTGATGATTCTGCATCGCTGCGCAACCAGCGAGCAGCTAGGCTTAAATAAGCTCTGCCACAGCGCAGCAAGCAAAAAGTTAGAGTTGTGTCTTTAGTTTCAGAGCAGATTTCTGCTAAATGGGCTCAGGGGAAATAAGCCTTTGTTTTAATTTAACTGATTTTATTCAGCTGAAATAAGTTGTAGTCTAGATGAGCAAAAGTGAAATTTTACATCAACTCAAATTTCATAAAAAGATGGAGGAAACATTGTTTCTGGCAGCAGTGAGTCAAGATTTTGATTTAGTGTCCGAAAATAATAACTGTAAATATTCACTTAGTTTGTCAAAATAATTACATAATAAGACTAAAATACGTCAAAATAATGAGGTAGTGAAGGAATGTCATCATTTCAACATGGTTAGTCAATATTTTGAAAATATAAGTGATTATTTTTGGGATATTAACTCTTCAACATAGTAAGTTAATATTTTTAGTCCACATTGTAAAAAAACAAAAATTAATAGTAAGTTATGGTGAAATATATTATAAGTGATTAGTTTGTGATTTGCTTGTTTCAGCATAGTAATCCAAACATGTAGAAAAAATCAATTTTTTACAAGTCCAAATTTTGAGATAATGCAGTTATTTTGAGATGTTATAATATTATTTCACCATAGTTAGTTAATATTTTGAAAGTATGTGATTATTTTTTGATTAACTCACTTGTTTCACCATAGTAAGTCAAAACTTGCAAAAACAATTCATTATTTTTAAATAATAGGTCCAAATTGTGAAACAGTCCAGTTATTTTGTAAACACTTTATATTATAGATGCTATAATATTATTTCACCATAGTCAGTTAGTATCTTGAAAATATAAGTATGTATGATATTAACTCATTGCTTCAACATAGTGAGTCCAAACTTGCAGACATTATTTTGACATATTAAGTCCAAATTTGGAGAAATGCGGTTATTTTACTTCACCATAGCAGATTAATAATTTGAGAAAATAAGTCATTATTCTGACAAAATAAGTGGAGGTTTTGAGAACACAAGTCATTATTGTGAGAAACTGCTGTTTGACCTACTGCTGTTCAAAACAGAGCAGAATAAAAAACTGCAGGCAGGTTTTGATTCTTCCTGCTGGGCTTCCAGAGAGTTCATCTCTCGGTTTGTATGTAGGTGAGAAAGTTTAGTGCGGACGATGGCTCACAGTGCTTATACATGCAAAGGACAATAAGAAGCACTTTAATTCAGTCAGCATGGTCAGTTAATAACTGCCTGTTTCATGTTACGACACTGACAACCACAGTAGAACTTCATCATCATACAACACTGAGTGTTAAATTCTTTCTCACCAAAATCCTTCATGGTTGACGGACATCATTTCTATGAATATGTAAAAAGTTTCTGTTTTAGTACGCTAATATGTTCAGACGTTCTCTGTCGCCATTTCTGAGCCCCAGAACTTCTACAATAGAGCCTCCTGAGAGAACCGGGGAACTTGTAAGCTTCTAAAGATGCTAAAACCCCCTTTCACATTCAGCTCCCTTAAGATACAGCTGAGTCTGAACGGAAAGGAAGCTTCTGGCCTTCTTTATGTGATGCTCTAATCTAGAGGAATTAACGGGACATTGAGGACAAACCGATTTACATGTAACAGCCCCACTGCAGCGCATCACTGCTGCGGCTCTGTTTCTCACTGCTTCACTGGAAAATGTTATTTTTGTGTAAAAGTGTGGGACAGATGTTCATACGAGCGCAGCCACAGAACAAAATGTGCTTTGACGCGACCACAAAATGCCTCCACAGTGCATCTGAAATTACGGTTTGATTTGCTAATGCTGTGCAGAGGGCCGCCCACTAAACATGCGCAGGGCTGATGAAGGGATAGCGGTGTTAATAAATGAAGTTCTTTTTGTCATGAGGGAACCGGGTTCTAAAGGGGTGTAACTCTACTCCGGATAGTAAAAACAGAATTTTCAAAACAACACCAGCGCAGACCACGAGCGCAACTTACAGCCACATCACAGCTTATTTTCCCTGTGTCTTCTCACTTCCTTACGACGCCCTGGAAGAGACGAGTTAATTTCTCTTAAAGGTAAAATTCTAGTGCACACTAGATACACATAGTATTGAGTGCTCACCACATGGTATCTGGTGTACACCTGATAGTATTGGGTGATTACATAGTATCTGGTCATGTGTACCTAATGGTATCTGATACATACTTCATTGATAGCATCTAGTGTGCAATTGCTAGCATCTGGTTCTCACCTAATAATATCTGGTGTGCACATGACAGTATCTGGTCCCCATCTGATAGTATCTGGTATGTACCTAATAGTACTGGGCGATCAACACATAATATCTGGTGAGCATCTAATAGTACCTGGTGTGCACCTGACAGTATCTGGTCCCCATCTGATAGTATCTGCTATGTACATGACAGTATCTGGTCCCCATCTGATAGTATCTGCTATGTACATGACAGTATCTGGTCCCCATCTGATAGTATCTGGTGTGTACCTGATAGTACTGGGCCATCACCACATAATATCTGGAGAGCATCTAATAGTATCTGGTGTGCAACTGACAGTATCTGGTGTGCACCTGACAGTATCTGGTCCCCAATCTAATAGTATCTGGTGTGCACCATGTCAAAACACAGTGAAAAATTAGGGAAAAAAGCTCTACAGTGCAGCTATTTCTGCTAGCACCCCTATGGGATTCTAGTGCCATGTTAGCGATAAGCTAAGAGTGACTCACAGGAACACTTTTTGTACGATTTAGCTTAAATATGAACTTTTGACACTTATAAAGACATTCCAGGTGTTACCATAAGCTTGTAAAGTTTGTTTGACCTTCTACAGTCGGATGCAAAAGTTTGTGCACCCTTAGTCAAATTCCATGTTGTTGTGTAAATAAGTGTGAATAAGTTACACATCTTCTACACAGAACACACTTCTGCACATTTTAATACAGACTTACTGTTCATTGCTAAATTTTGCATATTGGAAAAAAAAACAATATTTGTCTCATTTTGCCATTTTGTTTCATAAAACAGTGCAGGTTTCCTGTTTTCCTTGTGTTAAATTTTGTTCAAAAAGTCAAATTTTTGAATTTATTTAATTATATGACTTTAAAAAGGCCAGTAATACAAAAGTAATCACATTACGTTAATAAACTAGGTTACAATTGCATGTTTTTTACAAGAACATATTTAGATTTTCCCAAAAATGTAACCCAAGTCTGCTTTTAGGAGTTATATTTTATGAAACTCATTAGAAATGTGAATTTAAGATAATATTTGAGAACATATTTTTATCCATATTTGCTCTTGTAATTATTCTCAAGAGAATGTTAAGAAAGAAATTCAGACAGTTCTCAGAAAGCTCTCTGAAAAACACTGCGTTCTTCAGTACGTAACTAATAAAGAGGCCACATTCAGGACGGTTTTCTTTCTTAACCCTCCTGTGATGTTCTGGGTTAAGTTGACCTCTTTCCAAGATTAAGAATAAAGGAAAAATACTTTAATCGTTTTTGGAGAATGAAGCTTTTTCTGCTAGACTTACAGCTCATTCAGTGTGATTTGAACTGAAAGGGTCAGTTTGACCTGGAATAGAAGTTCGTATTAATCAGCAGTGCTGACAGAAAATGTGCCAAAAATGTTGAGACAGAAAAAAAAAAAGATTTGAAAATGATTTTTAATAAAAATTATTATAAGTAATCCTTGATCTGTAAAGGGTGAAAAAATTGATTACACTAAATATTGATTCAATTAATATTAATTGGGCTAAAGATACTATCACAGATACTATCTTAAAAGGTCAGGTCACTCTTTAGAATGGAAATCTTCCCTTAGACCAGAAGGCAGGTAGTGCGGGTGGGTGAAGTGCTATGAATGGTATCAGCAAAGCCCTGTTTTAATAAATTGTGAAGAATATTTTTCTTTTTCTGCATCTCTTTGAAGTGTTCCTTTTTTCTTTTTATGAGGATGGCCTTGTTTTGGTTGGGATTGGGGGTTAAATGTTTTTTTCCCTTATTCTTATAATACCATGTTCTAATTGCTCGTGATTGTCCTGTAATTGCTAAAAAAAATTTTAAAATTTATTATAAAAAAAAAAAAAAATCGGGTCTCTCAAAGCTGAACATCACAGGAGGGTTAAGACACTCTGTATAACATTTGTGTCATTTTAAGTACATTCTTAAAAAGATGCTTCTTCAAGAGTTCTTTAGTAAAGACAATGGTTTTATATAGAACCCTGAAAACTCAAAGAACCATTTGCATGCTCATCAGTTATATAGCACTCTATATAGCACCAAAAAGGGTTCTGCTATTGCTACAATGTCAAGTTTGTTACAATAGCCAAACCTATATAGAACCATATACAGCACATCCTCCATCAATCTTCAAGAACCGTTTAAGCATGCGTAAGGCTCTTTGATTGTTCATGATTGTACATGGAACCACTGTCATCACTAAAGAACCTCTGAAGAACCATCTTTAAGAGTGAACAACATAATAAAGTATATTATGTATTATTTATGTTCCCAAAAGCACTGAAATATTGAAAATGAAATGTCTTAAAGGAGCTTCTTGTAATAATAAACCGACAATTATTGACATGACAGTTGATTCCAAACTTGGGAATAGAAAAGCACAGATCATGAAGGTTGATTGCATCCGGTTTGTGTGTGAAACGGGCTCTAAAAGCTCAGTGAATCAGACACAGTCTGCTTTACCAGTGCAGAGGAAATAATTATCTCCATTCGTCTTGTTCTTCGGCAGTCTTACATCGTTTAGCTGAACTTGGTGATTGATTATCAGAACATTTTGAGGTGTTCCTTCTCTCTGACCCTCTTCCTTCCTCTGTGTCCAGATCCAGTGAACGGTCCTCAGAATGTGAAGGTGGTGGACGTCCGTGCGCGGCAGCTGAGGCTGGAGTGGGACCTGTTCACATATGCGGTGACGCGCTGCCACAGCTTCAACCTGACGGTGCAGTACCAGTACGTCTTCAATCAGCAGGAGTTCGCCGCCGAGGAGCTGATCCCCACCTCCTCCCACTACATCCTCAGAGGACTGCGGCCTTTTGTGACCGTCAGGCTCAGGCTGGTGTTGGCCAACCCAGAGGGCAGCAAGGAGAGCGAGGAGATCGTCAAACAGACCGAGGAAGACGGTGAGTGTCCCGGGATGAAATGCAGCGCATGCATGTCCGAAAGTATCCAGGCAGCCCTGATAATGAATGAGTTCAGCTAATGTAAAGGGCTCAGATCCTACAGTGGGTCCACTTACAACATCCGTGTGGGCTTATATACAAAAAACATAATTCAGTTTATCCATGACCATTTTCCCACCTCCTTTTATTCCTTAGAATTAAACAGTGCAGCATAATACAGTGTAATATTTATAATTTATTTATGTTCCCAAAAGAACAAAATATTGTATAAAACAACTTAATAAACACTCTACATTACAGAATAAATCAACAATTGATTCAAAATGAAATTATATATTATATTATATTATATTATGATTTCAAGTTGTGTTTATATTCATATATATATATATATACCTATATATATGTATATGTGTGTGTGTATATATATATATATATATATATATATATATATATATATATATATATATATATATATATATAATGATAAATGACAAATGAAAAATACATAATTACAGTGTATTATTTGTCTTCAAACTACTTAAAATTTCTAAATAAAAACAACCAACAATTGAATCACCAGTTGATTCAAAATGAAATTATATATTATATTATATTATATTATATTATGATTTCAAGTTGTGTTTATATTCATATATATATATATATATATATATATATATATATATATATATATATATATATATGTATATATATATATATATATATATATATATATATATATATATATACTGAATGATAAATGACAAATGAAAAATACATAATTACAGTGTATTATTTGTATTATTTGTTGTATTTAGGCACAAAAAATCCACAATTAAGTGTCTTCTCTGGACAGGATGTTTTAACTTATTTCCCCTTAGAAAATCAACAAAATATAGAATTTGACTGGGGTGTTCATACTTTTGCATACAATTGAATAGAAAATAACAAAATCAAATGTATAAATGTGAAAAATAATTAGTTTTAAATGTTCCGCCTGTTAACTCTTAAAAAAAAGTGTGAAGAGCGGGGCTTTAATGTTAATGTTTAGAAAATTTGTTTTTATCATACATCGAGTCCTACCAAGATTATTAAATATTAGAGATATATACCGAAATTAGAGAAACTTACAGAGTCAGAACTGTGGTGGTGATAGGAACCAGACGTCCACCTCTAAAAGCTCCCTCACAGAAAGTTCCTACATGAAATGGTTATGAATTCACTGCCTGATGACTGAGACACTGTTTTATGATAGTTTAGAGAACTTAAACTCCATTCATGGTGGAGGGATACATGCAGGGTGTTGTGAGGCAAAATAGTCCCCAAAGAAAACTTATTATTTCAGATTTTCTGCTATTTTCCATCATCAACATTCCATATAAACTCAGAAGACTCGTGTAGGTTCACTGGTGGTTCTGGACAGTAAATAAAATGTCTATATCTGTGTTGTAGTCATGGCGACCCCTGGTTTCTATCACCACCACTGTAAAGACATCAGAGTCTCTACAGTGAACCACTTCAAAATTTTCTGTAAAATTGATGTCATTCATCACCCTTTATGTTGCTTCACTGTTTTTGCTTTTTCCGTTATTTTTCATTAATGATAATATCCCACACAATTCACCGCCTTCTCATCACAATCAGATGTCAATAGCAATCAGCGTCGACCCGGCAGCAGCTCGTTTAGGAAGCCGAACGTGATCAGATCCGACTCGTCTCATCCTCCCTCTCAGCCATGTCAAGGACACGTTTTAATGCCGGACCGGAGTGAGATCGTTTATGGCGAAATTTGCACGACGACTCCAATTAATTCGATGCAGGCGAAGGTCGCGTTCCCATTCTCCGTTCGCTATCGAGAGCCAGACTCTGGAAATAAGCGTTATCGCAATTTAATAAGAATCATCATCATTTCCCGCGATGAGATGCTCCTCGTGTATGGTTGTAATTGTCAGCCGCATGAAAGATGGGTTGATTGCGGGCCGGCTCGTCTTCCTTACAGAAGGATATCTGTTTGCTGTAAGGTCAAAGCCGGCACATCAAAGCGGAAGGTTTGTTTGATACAGGGACCATGAAAGCTTGTTGCTGGCAATCAGGCCGGCTGCAAAATAAGTAAAGCCTTTTATACCGCTGAGTCTTTCATGGAAAGCCTGAGGCGGGGGGTGGGGGGATGTGGGGGGAGTAAGGAGGAAGAAAAAGTAAACCAACATCACCCGATAGCAGGAAGAAAAACAGTGTTATTAGTGTGGAAGGAGGGCAACACATCGATAGGGAGGTAAAATGTTGCCTATTTCAGTTCCTTTGATGCCTAATATCCTACATTAGGGAACGCGCTATAATGACCCGCGCTAAGTTGTAGCCGCCACAGGCTAATTGGCTTTACTTGTAGGTTTTATTGTTGCAGAGAAGGAAAGGTTGGGTGGGTTTTGTTTGCCGTCTTCATCTCAGGCTTCACTTAAGCGGCTCTTACGGCTGGTTCTTCTGCGACTGGAGAATTCTCCCGTTTTGTTTTCCAGCCTTTTGTGCCGGAGCTCTTGCAGGCCGACGTCAATAGAAAGCTGCACAGATCACTGCGGCCTTTCAGAGCCAAGTGCCGACCATTTACTGAGCAAATGGGCAGGGCTATTCAGCACTGGCCTTTGGCCACCTCTTGCTTTTGTGTTGCGCTTGTAAACGGATAAATTAGGATGTCAAGCAAGTATCTGCACTGTGAGTGATGTTTGTGCTTTTTACTCAATGGAAACTATTAACAGTGCCAGCATTGGGGGGTGTTCCATATAGAAAGTGAGATAAAGGGAATGAGAAAAAAGAAGCATAGTATCTTTTTTTCCATGCAGAATTGTGTCTTTCAGTGTCATCAATTTGACTCAGCTCCCAAATTTAAACACAAAAACATTGGACCTCACTCACCACCAATTCTTAAGAAGAAATTTCTTCTTAAAACCCATTTTACGCAGTTTTCTATCAGATTCTGACTCACCAGTGTTCTCTTATGTGAGGTTTGTTCTTAGGTAAGAACAGAATCTACACACACTCAAGAGCATGAAGGTGAGAACAGTTCTGCGCTTTAAGAACACGTCATGAATCTGATGGAGACTTTTTCTTAGGATCTTTCTCAAGAACACACTTAGGAAGATACTGGAGAATGAGGTTTATTAGTCCCTGTGGTGTCATGCAAGCCAAGCCATTGAGCTATAGGCTAATCAGTGCTACCAAGCTACCATCAGCACAACTCTTACTTTGGTTGTTGAACAACATTTTAAGAAAACAGTGGTTTGATCTTTATTCAGCAGCGAAAGGACACCAGAAACTCGTTTTTGCCTTTTCACCTTGCTGACAAAACCCATAGAAACCAGGCGGTTCTGTTGGTTTCTGGTGGTTCTGTAATGTGTTTGGCTTTTTTATGGGTTGATTTCACAGTGTAAACGAGTTTAAGAGGCGACCAATGGCTGATTCTAAAAGCATTCAATCAACCTTTATTTAAACTCTGGGTACACTGAGGGAGACCCTCATTTACAATGTAGCTGAGCCAATACAGGGATCAGGGACTGAGAACTTGTAGTAAAAACCCAACAAAAACAAAAAGTAATAATTATTATAATAATAAATTTAAAAAGAATAATTCAGTAAAGGATTAAAATTACAACAATATGGTAACTTAATAAATAAGATACAATAAGGAAAAATAAACAGAATTATATAAATAAAGAAATAAAAGATGTAAAACAGTAGCTTGGCAATACTAAAATAAATAAAAACAATAAATAAAAAAACAATAAAAATGAAACATTGGATGGTTTTCTAATACGACCTAAAGATGTTCCACAGGAAATGAGTGGTCTCTAATGGGAACCATGAATGTTTTAAGAACCATTATGTTTTAATCATTATGGTTTCTAATAGTCCTTTGTCAGCAGGGCAGTAAGAGAAAAGAAGCCCAAATCAAATCATGTTTATTATCCCATCACATTTACACAGGTGCAAAGTAGTACTTAAATAAACAAACAATAAACAAAAAATGTATCTCTCTCTCTCTCTCTCTCTCTCTCTCTCTCTCTATATATATATATATATATATATATATATATATATATATATATATATATATAAAACTATATATAAATAAGCTATATATATATATATATAAGATGTACAAGATGTCAGTCTATAGGTGTAAGTACAGATTTGCTGGATTGAAATTACAGTAAAATCAGATTAAGTCTGTTTGAGGTGTGGATTGTCAGTGGAGATCATGATGATGATGATGATGATGATGATCCAGAGGTGCAGTGACAGGCCCACAGCCTGATACAACAGCACTACTGGCTGTTCAGCAGCCTGATGGCCCAGGGGAAGAATCTGGCTCAGAACCGGCTGGTTCTGTAGATATCTGAAGCTCTGTTACTGACTTCATCTTTTAGATAAAGATCTTTTGAAGACTACACCCTGCTGAAATAAGACCATTAGAACCATTACAATTAAAACCTGATGGTTTTGCTTTCTAATGTGGATTAGATTAGATGTGGATTATGGTATTGTATGTTATACCTGATGGGTTGATATCACAGTATAAAAGACTCTAATGGTTTAATAGGTGTACTGGGACTGATTCCAGATGCATTTGATGGTTTCTTGATGGGATCTAAATGTGTCCTACAGGAAACTAGTGGTTTCTGTTGGTAATCTTTAAGTCAATTCACATTAGGAAGTAAAACCATCCTAAAGGGATCTAAAGGTGTCCTATCAATTTAATCCTAATGGCTCTAATTGTCTTTTCTCAGCAGAGCAGGAACCAACTGGAATTTTTAAAAGAAATGAAGGTACTAAACTGTCACTGGGGTGGAACCCTCAAGGCTCCATCTCAGTACCTTTAGTCAGGGAACATAACTGAACCATAATCCACTGAAATGATATGTTCTAAGCTGTACTGACTCCACACACCCCGTCTCGTCTCCAGGCTTTTATTTTACTGTTCTGTTTAAAACATTCGGTTATGAAAA